ATAGTTAATGCCAAATGGCCTCAGAGTGAATTCTTCCGGAATGTCAAATAAAAATTGATACCTTTTAATCAACTCTTCTGAGCTCTTCAAAGGAATTAAAGGAAAAGAGAAAACACTTCCCAAAACAAAATTTTATTTAGGTGACCCTTGCACTCATGTTCAAAGGCAAAATTAAAAGCATACAAAAATGACAGGTCAATATTCCCTTGAAGAACATACATGTAAAAAATCCTCAACAATATACTAAGAAACTTAAAAGCACACTGAAAGTATCATTTATCACAATCAAGTGGGATACCGTCCTAGCATGAAAGGATGGTTCTAGGTACGTAAGACAGAAAATGTGATCCATCTCATCCTCAGAATGAAGGATAAAATATACCATCATATAAATAGATATAGAATAAAGACTTTAAAATTAAAAATCACTTTAGAATTAAAAATCATCGTTGATTGGGTGTTGAAATGATGGATCTCAATATACTAAAGGCCACACTGGAGAAGCCAACAAGTGACATGCTACACAGAGAAAATTTCAAAACTTTCCTTCTTATATCAGGACAGAGACAAGGGCTTCCCTGTGATAACTTCTATTCATCAAAACTAGAAGTTCTTGTCAGAATAATTAGGCAAGAAAAGGAAATTTAAAATGTCTAAATCAGAAAGAAACAAGTTAAAATGTTTCTTCTTCTCTGTATACAGATGGCATGATCTTGTACATACAAAACCCTAAAAACTGTATGAGAAGCTAATAGAACTAGAATTCAAGAAAGATGTAAGATAGAAAACTAACAACAAATGGTTAGTGATCCTGCACACTCTCAACAGAGTGTCTTCATGACTCTAGGAAATATGTGGGGCTGTTTCAGAGGAAAGTGAAGGAAGAAAACTTGAACTGGCTGAACAACAAGGAGATGATAACCTAATGAAATAAGGATGTGTGTGTCCTAGGTCTTGCTTAATCTCCCCATCATGATCCCAGGTAGCTTTCCCCTCAATGTGGCACTGAGTCAGGTGCAGGTTCCAGTTGACCCCCATCCTGTGGGGACACGGTGACAGCAGTCCCAAGGGTCACATGCAGACATCACATTTCCATTAAGAAGATTTTCTGAACCTAAACTTAATTATTTCTAAATCATTACCCACATTTTCCCCTAAACACACCTGGTCATGATGGAGATTCTTCTATATCCCAATGTATGAAACTGGATTTACAACAGAGTCAAGAAAATAAACACCACAAATGAGACAGTGGAGCTACTACATGTCTAGCACCAAACTCCCCTGAAGGAATAAGACCTGGATCTCTGTCTGTGTCTTTATAGTTATGCCTCTGGTTACCGGGGACCCACACAGACACTCCTCTCTCTCGAACACTTGGTCCACTGGCTCTAGGTTCACACTCTGGTCTTAGTTTATCCTCTGATCACTTTGTAGGGAAAATAGTGTCAGATGGAACTTCCCATCTCCTGAACATGAAACTCCTGCACTTTTACTTCTTTCTCAGGTTGTGAGGGTTACTTTCTCTTGGTTGTTGTTACTGGTGACTGTCAAAGGTATCTCTCATTTTAAAGCTCTTCTTTTTCTTTTTATGAAAATTTTCTCTCCTGGGTCTCTCTACTGGTCTTCTGGAGCATTTGCGTCTACTGGGGAGGGCCCAGGCCCAGATTTGGGGAGTAATCTTCACACAAGTCACGCTTGGATATGTTACACTCTGGGACCAGGTCCTTTATGTCATAATCCAACCCCAAAGCTCACTATATAGGAGGAAGACATGCAAATAGAGCCCCCTCTGTTCATAAAAACCAGCCCAGCCCTGACCCTGCAGCTCTGGGACAGGAGCCCAGCCCCAGGATCCACAGGTGTTCCCATTCCCTGATCAAGACTAAACACAGACCACTCACCATGGGCTTTTGGCTCAGCTGGGTTTTCCTTGTGGCTATATTTAAAGGTAATTTATGGATAACAAGATACACTGAGTATGTGAGTGAATATGAGTGAGAGAAACAGTGGAAGTGTTTTTCCTGATCAGGATGTCTCTGTGTTTGCAGGTGTCCAGTGTGAGGTGCAGCTGGTGGAGTCTGGGGGAGGCTTGGTGCAGCCTGGGGGGTCTCTGAGACTCTCTTGTGCAGCCTCTGGATTCACCTTCAGTAGCTACTGGATGAGCTGGGTTCGCCAGGCTCCAGGGGAGGGGCTGGAGTGGGTCTCATATATTAATCCTGATGGGAGTACCACAAGCTATGCCCAATCTGTGAAGGGCCGGTTCACCATCTCCAGAGACAATGCCAAAAACACGCTGTATCTGCAAATGAACAGCCTGAGTGCCGAGGACATGGCCCTGTATTATTGTGTGAGAGACACAGTGAGGGGAAGTCAGTGTGAGTCCAGACACAAACCTTCCTTTAGCAGAGGCTGTGACCACCAGGTGGCGCCCAGGGTTCTCTGAACACAAAGACCATCCCAGAAGCAGGTGTAGCTGCAGGTATGGGCTGGTTTCCTGTGTAGTTTCCTGCTCATGTCACAGTTTCCCTCAGGGAACCTCTGGATTCCTGATTCTGTGCTTACCTCTGACGTCTCTGAGTTAGAAATTCTATTGTAAACAGACAACTTTCTCACATGGACAAACTGCAGAAATTTATTTTTCAGGCACTCTGTGTCAAGTACTCGTTGATGATTAAAATTCTGTCCAAGGCACCTAAGTCCAACTAGAGGCTCTGCTGACTGAACAGTGCAGCTTAGCCCCACACAGCTCAGAGTCTCATCTGGGCAGCAGCAGGACACGTGTGCACTGGACAGCGGGTACCAGAGTCATTTGACCTCAAAGCTATAGAAGAAGGACCCCAGGTGGTGATGGTCACTGACTAATAGTCATGCTCATAGCACCAAGAGTAGGTGACACCAGGCAGAAGCAGGAGGACCCATGGCAGCTTGTACATATGTCCAGGCTGATGACAAACACACACCAAGGGACATGGGATGATTATTGTGCTCATAGTTGAAATATATGGGAAGCACAGGGAAGGCCCTTGAGGAAGTCAAGGGTGCTTTGATGGAGCCAGGAAAGGGGGCTTTTATTTTCTGTGAGGTGATGGGCCAATGGGGGGAGTTCTGCTGCCTTGTGTGGTTTCAACTTCTTCATGACAAATAAAGAGAACAAGCCTTTATAATCAGAGTCCTCTTGGGGCTGATGGAGAAGAGACAGGCTGGAGCCATCGGTTGTCAGCAGTCAAACATAAAGTAATATACAGTGTGATTACCAATCCCATTTAATAACCATAAAAATGTGCAAATATGAGACGGAGGGCCATTATGTGTGAACAAATACATCCTATATAATAAAGTGGTAATATGCAAATTGACCATCACTCCAATACATAAGATGGCCACCCCCATGTGGACACAAGATGGTCGCCACAAGATGGCCTACAGGGGAGGGCAGTTGGGGCGGACCAGACCTGCAGGGGAGGACAATTAGGGGCAACCAGGCTAAAGGGGAGAGCAGTTGAGGGGGAAGTGAGACCTTCAGGGGAGGGCAGTTAGGGGTGACCAGGCCAGCAGGGAAGGGCAGTTAGGGATGACCAGGCCAGCAGGGGAGGGCAGTTAGGGACAATCGGTCTGGCAGGGGAGCAGTTAGGCATTGATCAGGCTAGCAGGGGAGTGGTTAGGGGGTGATCAGGCTTGCAGGCTTAAGCGGTTAGGGGTAATCAGGCAGGCAGGCAGGCGAGCGGTTGGGAGCCAGCAGTCCTGGATTGTGAGAGGGGTGTCTGACTGCCATTTAGGCCTGATCCCACTGACAGTCAGACATCCCTCGAGGGGTCCCAGATTGGAGAAGGTACAGGCTGGGCTGAGGGACACACACCCCCATGCACGAATTTTGTACACTGGGCCTCTAGTACAGTGATGGTGAACCTTTTGAGCTCGGCGTGTCAGCATTTTGAAAAACCCTAACTTAACTCTGGTGTTGTGTCACATATAGAAATTTTTTGATATTTGCAACCATAGTAAAACAAAGACATATTTTTGATATTTATTTTATATATTTAAATGCCATTTAACAAAGAAAAATCAACCAAAAAAATGAGTTCGCGTGTCACCTCTGACACGCATGTCATAGGTTCACCATCACTGCTCTAGTATCTACATAAAATAAGTAGAAACCGATTGATTATAAGTAAACAAACAAGGAGGATAAGGAGGGGGAAGAATAAAATAAAATGAGGAGACGGTGATGACTATTGACTGAGACAAGGGCCCTGGTCCAATGAAATGAAGGCTCCTCTTACAAACACACCATCATCAGGGCTTTTCCAGTGAGGGGTGTCCCCTCTTTCCTGTCAGTGTTGAGAGATTTCATAAGTGAGACCCCAATGAATTATGCAGATTCAGTATTACATGTTGAGACTAGATCAGTAATGACTCACAGGTGTTCAAGTGAAGATCCCCTGGACCTGGGAAGGTGTTACCTTCTAGAACAGAGACACTGTGAGACTGTGCAAGTAGAAAACAGGGACCCCCTTCCCACCAGTTTGCAATGACACGTTCCTTATTTCTCTTGACCCCTACCTGCATGATCTTTAACGTTTCTATTTCTAACAAACTCACGTTAATCATTATTTAGGTATTTCCTGTGATTATACAAGCTGTCTCTATCATGCCCTGCACTTCCATCTGGGTCTTCAAAGGAAGATGCTTTAAACCCACATGTCCAGTAACTCTGTTCATGAACATCAGGCACATTTCTGTCATGTGATTCAAAACAAGTCCAGCTTCTTCCCCTCACCCAGTTCCACAGTCACGTCCAGATTTTTGGGTAGTTTCCCAGCAGCGCTCCCCTCTGGTACTAGAACCTGCTACAGTCCCTGTGGCTGCTGTAGCCAATCCACATGGGCAGTGGAGGCTCAGCATTTTCTAGGGAGTTCTTTGTAAAATCACCCAAAACAGATCTCATTAAAGAAAATAGTGTTCAATTGACCTTGGTTAAAATTATTTTTTCATCAAAGATTCCATTAAGCAAATAAAACATAAACATTAAGAATATATTTCCAAGTCATATGTCTGATGGGAGATTTAATAAATTATACTTTAAGGATGTTATATGTTTGTGGGAGAGCTCAGCCACCTCTGACCACAGTGACCTCCCAGGGATTCCTCTTAGGATTGAAGTTTCCTTTCTTGTGAGAAATTCTGTGGTAGAAATTCTCTTCACTCACCTCCCTATGGACCCTGACATCACTGATAACATTAGACAGAGAAAACAGATCAATCTCCTTCCAACATCATTTCAAATGTGAATGATTCTGAGTTGTGCACCTGAAAAATCACTGTTTTTATTTTGTCTATTTTATCCACTTAATACAATGACTCTTTCTAGTTTTGGGTCTCTGTAATAGGCCATTGGCTTGCATAAAGGAAGAGTTTGCACAGGAAGCTGTAGACCCAATCACAGAATTCCCAACATCAAGAATCAGGAATGTCTCACCTGCCTGTTCTTAGGAGGTAGTTTCTCACATCAAAGTGATGTCATAAATTAATATATAAGATATTAAAAGTGGCTATCCTTTATTTTTTATATTTTTTCACAATTGTATAAATTGGTTTGTATAAAATTAGATTTAAGAATTTTGAAATGGTGGATGCACTATGGTTTTGAGGATTCAGAGATGGTCTGAACAAATGCTAACCCCTCTGACATCTTTTGAAAGATTCATGAAAGT